TTCTATAGACCGTTTTCTATAAAAAAGTGTCTTCTATAGACCGTTTTCTATAGAAAAGTGTCTTCTATAGACCGTTTTCTATAGAAAAGTGTCTTCTATAAACAATTTTCTATAGAAAAGTGTCTTCTATAAACAATTCTCTATAGAAAAGTGTCTTCTATAGAAAATTTTCTATAGAAAAGTGTCTTCTATAGACAGTTTTTTATAGAAAAGTGTCTTCTATAGACAGTTTTCTATAGAAAAGTGTCTTCTATAGACAGTTTTTATAGAAAAGTGTCTTCTATAGACAATTTTTATAGAAAAGGGTCTTCTATAGACAGTTTTCTATAGAAAACTGCCTTCTATAGAATATTTTCTAACAATTGACTAAAAATTTTCTGTAGAAAAGTGTCTCTTTTAGACAATTTTCTATAAATAAGTTTCTTCTTTAGACAATTTTCTACAGAAAAGTGTCTTCTTTAGACAATATTCTACAGAAAAGTGTCTTCTTTATACAATCTTCTATAGAAAAGTGTCTTTTTTGACAATTTTCTATAGAAAAGTGTATTCTTTAGACAATTTTGTATAGAAAAATGATTTCGTTAGACAACTTTCTGTAGAAAAGTGTCTTCTTTAGACAATTTTCTGCAGAAAAGTGCCTTCTTTAGACAATATTCTGTAGAAAAGAGTCTTCTTTAGACAATTTTCTGTAGAAAGGTGTCTTCTTTATGTAATTTTGTGTAGAAAAATCTTCTTAAAACAATTTTCTGTAGAAAAGTGTTGTATTTAGACAATTTTCTGTACAAAAGTGTCTTCTTTAGACAATTTACTGTAGAAAAGTGTCTTCTTTAGACAATATTCTGTAGAAAGGTGTCTTCTATAAAAAATTTTCTATAGAAAAGTGACTCTTTTAGATAATTTCATTACAAAAGTGTCCTCTATAGGCAACTTTCTAAAGAAAAGTGTCTTCTATGTCCAAAAATTTTCTATAAAAAAAACTTATTTATTCAAAAATTTTCTATTAAAAGAATATTTCATCCAAAAATTTTCCATTAAAAAAAAAATTATATAAAAATTTTCTATAAAATATTTTCTCAAATATTTTCTATGGTCGACTCTCGTATTTGCCAGTTTTTGTTTCTTGCATTATATATATTTTTTTTAGCAAATGTTGACTGAGTAAATGTGTCTCAGTGTATCTGTCTAGAATTTGACCAGTACTGACGCAATTTCTGACACCATATTCACCATACACACTTGTCAGTCCATCTGTCTGTCCGTTCCAACAAACATCCGTCTATATTGGCGTGATGTTTGTAGAAGAAAAACACTGCGTCACAACCAAAAGAAGAAAAACTGGAAAAAATGCTATTGTTGGTTGCCATGTGTTTAATACTTACATATATTTTTGGTCTCACAATATGGTTCATTCGCCGATACGATCACACTTAATTTAACATTTTTTTTTTTTTTTCATTTTCAACATTTGCATTTTTTTTCCAGTTTGCTTGTTTGTTTGAAGGCATAAAGTTAAAATGGATTAAACCCAAAATTTACTGCTGAAAGTTAAAAGTGTGTGTGGACTTGTTTTTTTTTTTTGCTTTTTTCACTTAATTGTTAAGTAAACATATTTTTTTCTTGCGTTTTTTGTTAAATAAACTGTGTGGAATTTTTTTTTGGGCATTTTAAAGTTGAATAGTTAAAAAAAGGACTTTAATTATGTTAAATGGAGAGAATGCAAAATGAAATTAAAAAAAAGTTAAGGGATCTTAAAGTTAAGTATTTCTTTAATAAGTTTATTTACACAAATTTTTGCGAATTACTATTGTTGTAGGAAAAAAACTTTAAAAGAAATTTCTCTAAAGTATTTAAGAATGTTTGTTGTTATTTCTAAAGTCTAAAAACAAATTAGAATAAATTGAGCAATTGTCAGGTACAAAAAAAAAATGTTAAACAAATTTTTTTTTGTGATTTTAAACAGCATTAATGAAGTATTTTTATTAACATTTCTTTTACAAAGAAACATTTTTGTAGACATATATGTATGTAATTTAGAAAATTGTCTTTTGTAAACAATTTTTTATAGAAAAGTGTCTTTTGTTAAACAATTTTCTATAGAAAAACGTCTTCTAATGACAATTTTCTTTAGAAAATTGTCTTCTATAAACATTTTTCTATTGAAAAGCATCTTCTATAGACTATTTTCTATAGAAAAGAGTCTCTTTAGACAGTTTTCTATAGAAAAGTGTCTTCAATAGATAGTTTGCTATAGAAAAGTGTCTTCTTTAGACAGTTTTCTATAGAAAAGTGTCTTCTTTAAACAGTTTCCAATAGAAAAGTGTCTTTAAAACAGTTTTCAATAGAAAAGTGTCTTCTTTAGGCAGTTTTCTATAGAAAAGTGTCTTCTTTAGACAATTTTCTATAGAAAAGTGTCTTCTGTAGACAATTTTTTATAGAAAAGTGTCTTCTCTAGACAATTTTCTATACAAAAGTGTCTTCTATAGACAATTTTCTATAGAAAAGTATCTTCTATAGACAATTTTCTATAGAAAAGTGTCTTCTATAGACAATTTGCTATAGAAAAGTGTCTTCTATAGACAATTTTCTATAGAAAAGGGTCTTCTATAGACAATTTTCTATAGAAAAGTGTCTTCTATAGACAATTTTCTATAGAAAAGTGTCTTCTATAGACAATTTTCTATAGAAAAGTGTCTTCTATAGACAATTTTCTATAGAAAAGTGTCTTCTTTAGACAGTTTTATATAGAAAAGTGTCTTCTTTAGATAGTTTCCTATAGAAAAGTGTCTTCTTTAGATAGTTTTCTATAGAAAAGTGTCTTCTTTAGATAGTTTCCTATAGAAAAGTGCCTTCTTTAGGCAGTTTTCTATAGAAAAGTGTCTTCTTTAAACAGTTTTCAATAGAAAAGTGTCTTCTTTAGGCAGTTTTCTATAGAAAAGTGTCTTCTATAGACAATTTTCTATAGAAAAGTGTCTTCTATAGACAATTTTATATAGAAAAGTGTCTTCTTTAGACAATTTTCTATAGAAGCGTGTCTTCTTTAGGCAGTTTTCTATGGAAAAGTGTCTTCTTTAGGGTGTTTTCTATAGAAAAGTGTCTTCTTTAGAAAATTTTCTTTAGAAAAGTGTCTTCTTTAGACAGTTTTCTATAAAAAAGAGTCTTCTTTAGACAATTTTCTATAGAAAAGTGTCTACTTTAGACAATTTTCTATAGAAAAGTGTCTTCTATAGACAATTTTCTATAGAAAAGTGTCTTCTATAGACAATTTTCTATAGAAAAGTGTCTTCTATAGACAATTTTCTATAGAAAAGTGTCTTCTATAGACAATTTTCTATAGAAAAGTGTCTTCTATAGACAATTTTCTATAGAAAAGTGTCTTCTATAGACAATTTTCTATAGAAAAGTGTCTTCTATAGACAATTTTCTATAGAAAAGTGTCTTCTTCTATAGAAAACTGTTTTCTTTAGAAAAATTTCTATAGAAAAGTGTTTTATTAAGACAATTTTCTATAGAAAAGAGTCTCCTTTAGACAATTTTCTATAGAAAATAGTATATTTGGACAATTTTTGATAGAAAAGTGTGTTCTTTAGAGAGTTTTCTGTAGATAAGTGTCTTTTTTATACAATTTTCTCAAAAAAAAAAGAGTTTTCCTTAGACAATTTTCTATAGAAGAGTCTTCTTTAGAAAATTCCTATAGAAAAGAGTCTTTAGAAAATTTCCTATAGAAAAGTGTCTTCTTTACACAATTTATTTATATAATTTTCTGTAGAAAAATGTCTTCTTTAAAGATTTTTTTTCGAAAATTTTCTTTTGTAGACTATTTGATACAGAAACGTTTCTTTTGTATATAATTTGCTATAGGAATGTCTCTTTTGTAGGTAATTTTCTATAGAAAAGTGTATTCGTTTAAAGATTTTCTATAGTAAAGATACTTTTATAGAAGTATCTCCCATGGAAGAATGTCTTTCTTAAGCAGTTGGCCTCAGAAAAGTTCTTGAGTATATTAACAATCCAATCCTTATAGGCTCTTTTCTAATGCCAAACAAAAATCCATTTACAATGTGGAAAATTAATACTTTTACCCAAAAATTATTTTTTTCTAATTAAAATTAACACTTTTTAATGCACTTCAATTATAAACCAAACCAAAAAGAGAACAACAAACTAATACATTTTGCTAAATTGCCTTAATAAAACTTTTTTGTATGAAAAACTTAAAGTTTTTCATAAAATCATTATAAACTTTTCGTACGAACAACAGCATCAACCAACATGCAACACCCAAAGCAAGAGTAAAACTACTAGAGTTATTGAGTCAATTTTAATTCAATAGAAATTCCAAACAAACCTTATAACGTTTCAAGAAAATATTTGCAATTTCATACATTTGAAATTTGAATTGACCTCTTACACCCTCTAAACCAACAACACCTTCGAATTGCACTAACGTTTGCTTTTGGGAGTGGATGGCTGGTATTGTAGAATAATTTAAGCAATTATACAAAACTACAACAGCAACAAAATTAAAAAAAAAATGCATAAAATCTTAGTGAGGTTGTGAGGCAGAATAATTTTTCACCAAAACTACACTCGTTCAGCGGAAAAGGAAACTCCAACACAACACTAGAGTACCGGGTAGTACTTCATTTAATTACCCCTTGTCCTGCTGCTATTCCTCTACCACTCTACTCGTGTTTTAACTAGTTTTTTTTTTTTTTTGGGCAAAAACATTATTCACAAAATAATGAACTAGTAAATTGACTCCAACAGCGCGTACATTATTTGAATTTTATTTTCTAGTTTATTTTTGGAAAATGTTTTTCATTCAATTTCGAGTTTTTTTTTTCTTCGCGCCACTTTCAGTTTAATTTGAATGTTTCTTTCGTATTTGATTTTAATTTTATTCAGTATTTAGCATTTTACTACTTTTTTCTGTTTTTACCAGATTTAATAAATTCATGTTTTTTTTTTTCTCCTCCTTTTTGTACAATTCTAATTTACAGCCAAATGGACAATCAGCGTAAAAATCTTTTGGAGGCATTGACCAAAAAGGGTATTGCTGTTGCTAAATTGTGTGTATTGGATAAAAACGTTAAAGATCGTTTAGAGGATATTGATAATGTGTACACAGAAATCATTAAATTTGTGGACGCCAGTGATTCGAAGGTAAGTTTCCATATAAATTTTTCTATTTTCCATTACAATTTCTATTTATTTATGTCATGGTTTTTGTGCATTGGCTTATATTTGTGTAAGTGTGTGTGTCTTTGGGGGTGGAGTTTTTGGGCGTGTTGCTCATTTGTGCAACCGAGTGACCGAGTGAAAACCATTAAACATGGAAATATGGGAAAACAAACTAATGCAACCATTTTAAAATATAAACATCTAAGGTACTAGAGGATTATTACAGCATCCATAATTTAACTGGCACAAAGCACTTAAACATACAATGTAAAATGCATAATGAAAAAAAAAACACAAATTAGAAAATTATTTTATATAATTTTTAAATAATTACACGGTTCAGCAACAGAGGAGGCAGGAAATAAAACATTCAGGGAGAAAACTTTTAAAAGTAGACCGTGCAGTGCAGAAGACAGTTTTCTATAGTATGTTTTCAAAAGAAGAAAGTTTTCTGTACAGAAATTCTAGAAAAGACACTTTTCTATAGAAAATTTTCTAAAGAAGAAAACTTTTATATAGGAACAAATCAACAAATTGTCTAAGCAAGACATTTTTCTATAGAAAATTGTCCAAAGAATAAACCTTTCTATAGAAAACTGTCCAAAGAATACACTTTTCTATAGAAATTGTCTATAGAAGACACTTTTCTATAGAAACTTGTCCAAAGAAGACACTTTTCTATAGAAACTTGTCCAAAGAAGACACTTTTCTATAAAAACTTGTCCAAAAAATTGTCCAAAGAAGACACTTTTTTATCGAAAATTTTCTAAAGAAAACATTTTTCTATAGAAAACATTTTTCTATAGAAAATTGTCTAATGAAAACACTTTTCGATAGAAAATTGTCCAAAGACACTTTTTCAATAAAAAATTGCCCAAAAAAGACACCTTTCTATAGAAAATTGTCTAAAGAAGACATGTTTCTATCGAAAATTGTCTAAAGGAGACAGTTTTCTATAGAAAAGTGTATAAATATTAGACATTTCTATAGAAAATTGTCTAAAGATATCACTTTTCTTCAGAAAATTGTCTAAAGAAGACATTTTTCTTTAGAATATTCTCTAAAGAAGACACTTTTCTATAGAAAATTGTCTGAAGAATATACTTTTCTATAGAAAATACACTTTTCTATATCAAATTGTCCAAAAAATTTTCCTTTCTATAGAAAATCGTCTAAATGAGACAATTTTATATAGAAAATTGTCCAAAGAAGACACCTTTCTATAGAAAATTGTCCAAAGAAGACACTTCTATAAAATATTGTCTAAAGATGTCACTTTTCTTCAGAAAATTGTCTAAAGAATACACTTTTCTATAGAATATTGTCCAAAAAAGACACTTTTCTATTGAATATTGCCCAAAGAAGACGCTTTTCTATAGAAAATTGTCTAAAGAAGACACTTTTCTATAGAAAATTGTCCAAAAGAAGACACTTTTCTATAGAAAATTGTCCAAAGAAGACACTTTTCTATAGAAAATTGTCTAAGATATCACTTTTCTTCGGAAAATTGTCTAAAGAAGACATTTTTTCTTTGGAATATTCTATAAAAGAAGACACATTTTCTATAGAAAATTGTATAAAGATTAGACTTTTCTATAGAAAATACACTTTTCTATATCCAATTGTCCAAAAAATTTTCCTTTCTATAGAAAATCGTCTAAATGAGACATTTTTATATAGAAAATTGTCCAAAAGAAGACACCCTCTCTATAGAAATTATCCAAAGAAGCACTTTTCTATAGAAAGTGTCAAAAGAAGACACTTTTCTATAGAAAATTGTCCAATGAAGCCTCTTTTCTACTAAAAATGGTCCAAAGATGGCAATTTTCTATAGAAAATTGTCCAAAGAAGACACTTTTCTATAAAATATTGTCTAAAGATGTCACTTTTCTTCAGAAAATTGTCTAAAGAATACACTTTTCTATTGAATATTGCCCAAAGAGACCAATTTTCTATAGAAAATTGTCTAGAGAATACACTTTTCTATATAATATTGTCCAAAGAAGACACTTTTCTATTGAATATTGCCCAAAGAAGATACTTTTCTATAGAAAATTGTCTAAAGAAGACACTTTTCTATGGAAAATTGTCCAATGAAGACTCTTTTCTATTAAAAATGGTCCAAAAGAAGGCAATTTTCTATAGAAAATTGTCCATAGAAGACACTTTTCTATAAAATATTGTCTAAAGATGTCACTTTTCTTCAGAAAATTGTCTTAAGAAAACTCATTTCTATAGAAAATTATCTAAAAAAGACACTTTTCTATAAAAAAGTATTCATTGAGATTTAAACTTAAAGAATTGTCAATCAAAAAGTTTAACTTTTGAAATTGTATCAACAAATCCTAATCCATAAACAAAACAAAGATCTCAGTTTCCAAAATTAAAACATTCCTTTTTTGTCCATATACATATTTACTGGTTCATAGAACACCTGTTGCCAATTTTTTCATTCTTTTCTTAAAAAAAAAAAAAATCTCTATTTTAAAATTGAAATATAAATCTTTTTATGGAGACCAATGTCTTCTTAAGTACTTTTAAGTCAACATCCTTAATTAAGGTGCACATTTGCTGGCAGCAATTAACTCTCGACTGACTGACTAAGAAAGATCAGACAGACAAACACAAAAGAGACAACTAGCACTTTCTCTAGCTAACACCGACGAACATCTAACACCATTGTGATATGTGGCACCTACAATTAAAACAGATTTTACTTCTTTAGACCATTTACCGGTTGGATTTCAAATCCCAGTGTGGCAAGAAAAAAAACGTAAAAACTTAACACACTGCACTGGTATTAGAGTAAATAAAACATAAAAGAGTAAAAGGACAACTGTGAGGAAGAGACATTTTATAGTAAACATATCAGGCATGGAAAATTCAGTACATTAGATATGGCAAAATACTACGGTATCCCGACAACATTTTCGGCAACATACTAACCAATAGAACAGTCTAGACTATAGTCTAGTCTACCATATTCTAGTCTGTAGTCTAATCTGTAGTCTAGTTTATAGTCTATTTTATAGTCAGACTATAAACTAGACTACAAGTTATAGTTTAGTCTATAGTTTAGTCTATAGTCTAGTCTATAGTCTAGTCTATAGTCTAGTCTATAGTCTAGTCTATAGTCTAGTCTATAGTCTAGTCTATAGTCTAGTCTATAGTCTAGTCTATAGTCTAGTCTATAGTCTAGTCTATAGTCTAGTCTATAGTCTAGTCTATAGTCTAGTCTATAGTCTAGTCTATAGTCTAGTCTATAGTCTAGTCTATAGTCTAGTCTATAGTCCAGTCTATAGTCTAGTCTATAGTCTAGTCTATAGTCTAGTCTATAGTCTAGTCTATAGTCTAGTCTATAGTCTAGTCTATAGTCTAGTCTATAGTCTAGTCTATAGTCTAGTCTATAGTCTAGTCTATAGTCTAGTCTATAGTCTAGTCTATAGTCTAGTCTATAGTCTAGTCTATAGTCTAGTCTATAGTCTAGTCTATAGTCTAGTCTATAGTCTAGTCTATAGTCTAGTCTATAGTCTAGTCTATAGTCTAGTCTATAGTCTAGTCTATAGTCTAGTCTATAGTCTAGTCTATAGTCTAGTCTATAGTCTAGTCTGTAGTCTAGTCTATAGTCTAGTCTATAGTCTAGTCTGTAGTCTAGTCTATAGTCTAGTCTATAGTCTAGTCTATAGTCTAGTCTATAGTATAGTCTATAGTCTAGTCTATAGTCTGGATTATAGTCTATAGTCTAGTCTATAGTCTAGTCTATAGTCTAGTCTATAGTCTAGTCTATAGTCTAGTCTATAGTCTAGTCTATAGTCTAGTCTATAGTCTAGTCTATAGTCTAGTCTATAGTCTAGTCTATAGTCTAGTCTATAGTCTAGTCTATAGTCTAGTCTATAGTCTAGTCTATAGTCTAGTCTATAGTCTAGTCTATAGTCTAGTCTATAGTCTAGTCTATAGTCTAGTCTATAGTCTAGTCTATAGTCTAGTCTCTAGTATAGTCTATAGTCTAGTCTATAGTCTAGTCTATAGTCTAGTCTATAGTCTAGTCTATAGTCTAGTCTATAGTCTAGTCTATAGTCTAGTCTATAGTCTAGTCTATAGTCTAGTCTATAGTCTAGTCTATAGTCTAGTCTATAGTCTAGTCTATAGTCTAGTCTATAGTCTAGTCTATAGTCTAGTCTATAGTCTAGTCTATAGTCTAGTCTATAGTCTAGTCTATAGTCTAGTCTATAGTCTAGTCTATAGTCTAGTCTATAGTCTAGTCTATAGTCTAGTCTATAGTCTAGTCTATAGTCTAGTCTATAGTCTAGTCTATAGTCTAGTCTATAGTCTAGTCTATAGTCTAGTCTATAGTCTAGTCTATAGTCTAGTCTATAGTCTAGTCTATAGTCTAGTCTATAGTCTAGTCTATAGTCTAGTCTAGTCTATAGTCTAGTCTATAGTCTAGTCTATAGTCTAGTCTATAGTCTAGTCTATAGTCTAGTCTATAGTCTAGTCTATAGTCTAGTCTATAGTCTAGTCTATAGTCTAGTCTATAGTCTAGTCTATAGTATAGTCTACAGTCTAGTCTATAGTCTGGATTATAGTCTATAGTCTAGTCTATAGTCTAGTCTATAGTCTAGTCTATAGTCTAGTCTATAGTCTAGTCTATAGTCTAGTCTATAGTCTAGTCTATATCTAGTCTATAGTCTAGTCTATAGTCTAGTCTATAGTCTAGTCTATAGTCTAGTCTATAGTCTAGTCTATAGTCTAGTCTATAGTCTAGTCTATAGTCTAGTCTATAGTCTAGTCTATAGTCTAGTCTATAGTCTAGTCTATAGTCTAGTCTATAGTCTAGTCTATAGTCTAGTCTATAGTCTAGTCTATAGTCTAGTCTATAGTCTAGTCTATAGTCTAGTCTATAGTCTAGTCTATAGTCTAGTATAGTCTAGTCTATAGTCTAGTCTATAGTCTAGTCTATAGTCTAGTCTATAGTCTAGTCT